TCCAAATGCCGAGTCAACACAAAAGTCGGACTCGCTGCGGGTCGATATTCTGGTACAAGCCGACCCGACTTATACCTGACTCCACAGGCATTGCATAGCGTTTTTGGACCCAGCGGACCCGTCCTCCACTGAGGAGTCTTCTCCGACGCGCAGTGCGTGCACCTCCGCACTGTCCCCTCCTCCGCCGTAGAATGCGGCGCTCCATTGTTTTCCTTCTTCAATCTCGATTTACCGGTCACCGCAGTTTCGAGCTCTGGCGAGGAGGACGTCGCGGTGGTGGTGGTGGCTCGTGAGCGTTTGCTGCGAGGTTTGTTGCAAAGCGACGTGTCGGTTGGGATGTTAATGATGCTCGGAAAGTCGGAGAACGAGTCCTCCACGAATTGCGATAGCCACTCCAGTTCTGCCACGTCATCGGTCTGCGCAAAAAAAATAAAAAAAAGACATCATTATAAAAACATTTCAGCAAAATTATATTGTTATATATAGTTTAATTAAAAAAGTGACGAGTAGTGGCCTACTGGGACTGAGAGATGGTCAGTGAAGTCAGTCGAAAGAGAAGAAGGGTTATTAATATAGGTGGAGGAGGGGAAGTGGTGGTGATGAATGGAGGGGGTTTCAGGTGGAGGAAGGTGGTGGTGGTCGATGGAGGAGGAGGGTGAGGAGAGGAGGTCGTCATTAGAGAAGTCTAAAAGGTCATCAATGTGGAAATAATCAGGTGCAGTAGTGGTAGACAATCCTCCATAGACATCCATTTTTGGTGTTTTGATTGACGCGGGCTTAATTTTCTCTACCTCTAACTCTTTCCTTTTGTAGAAGAAAGACAAGCGAGGAAGAGAGAAACCCAGAAGAGAGATTAGCCAGAGAAAACTGGAGATGGGTTGCTCTCTCTCTCTCTCTCTCTCTCTCTCTGTCTCTGTCTCTGAGGGGTGCAAGATGGCAGAGAGAGTGGAGGAATTTTAAAGGGTGAGGTAAGAGTGGAGTTTTTCATGCAACGATGGACACATGGATACACATGCTGGCTTGACTAATGTGAAGGTACGGTGGTTAATGCATTTATGCTGCCTCTAGGCAGGCTTTTTAATTATTTTAGTTTATGAGCTGACTTGATTATGGTGTAATGCCAGTTATGGGTGGCATTAGTCTCTGTGATTATATAATTAATTAGTTACTTAAATATAAGCACTGAAAACAATGGTCACTGATTGGCCAAATGAATAGCCAAAAATAAAAAATTAATATTTTGGTTTTTCTTTGTTTGTTTTGCATATTCCAATGGAGAAACCAAACAAAATGTTAAAATGCCTTTTCTCTTCCACAAATGCTATTTCTACATATCTTTTTAAAGAGCCAAAACCAACAAAGTGGGACCACTAAAAAAATAGACCAATTAAATGTAGACATGTAGAAAAAAAATAACATTAAACAATATTAAGAAATAATAAAACACTTATTTTTTTCACTCCAATATAAATGACTCTTCAAATAGCTTTTTTTCATTGGAATAGATATGGTAAAATAAACTATATTTATACTATTCAAAATGCTATTTTATCAATTTAGCTTTTCAAAATAGCATTTTGGATTGGAAATGCTCTAAGTAGTGTTGCCATTGAGGCTTAGGCTGTAGTTTTTGCTCAAAATATGGTGGCATGTACAGTTTTAACTGCGAATGCCATTCTGTGAGCTGACTTAATTATGGTGTAGTGGTGTTTTCGAGTGGATTTTTATTTAGGACTAAGATATACAATATTGTAGGTGAGATTTTATTTTTTTATTTTATTTTATTTTATTATAAGCTTAAATAATACTATTTAATGGGGTGGTGTATTGCCATCACTTTTAAATCTAGCTAAATCTTTAATCTAATTAAAAGAAAACCATTCACCTTGCTTGAGATTAGAGGGTTCATGAAATTTTTAATTTTCGCTCGTGTTAGTATTAAATAAACATTCTGGAGCAAACATGAAACGCATCGTTTTAATCATATGGATGCCTCCCCTCTCCAGCTTAGAAGGATACTTACCAATTGAGAAATGGGGAATGGATCCAAGTGCACCTACAAGAAGAGTCCAAGAAAATAAAGAAACCAGCGAGTTCCTTTCCCTTCCTGTTTTTTTACTATATAAATATAAATATGTGATGTAAATTATTTTTTAAAATATTTGTTATTTAAAAATATATTAAATTAATTTTTTTATTTTTGATATTAATACATTAAAATTATTAATAAAAACTGAAAAAAAATATTAATTTATTTTTTAAAAATAAATATATTTTTAAAAAACAAAAAAAAAAACAAAAACTTTATCGTGGCAATTATATTTTCTGTGTTCACTCCAACTCCCTTGTTGCTTATCTTATTATTAATCACCGGTTATTCATGTACCTTTCTTGCGTCGGCTATAGAATTTACGAGGCCATACTATGAGTACAACAACGTACGTACGTGTAATTTTACTTCATTAAACGTTTATTGTCGGGGATTTAGAAGTAATCATATACAACGACAATAACAAGCTATATTTTACTACGAGGTGTTGGAAGCGGTTGAATCATGTTTTATAATTTTAAATTAGTTTTTTTACTGATAATAAATAGTCTTAATGTTTCGTGTCAATATAAATTTTACAAATTAAAAAATATATAATTTTAATATATTTTCAAATAAAAAAATATTTAAAAAAACAAAAAAAACATAACCTTAATGTCCTTTCTTCTAAAAAGCAAATACAATTTAATTAAAAATCATTTGCTACCAACCACTGCTATTTTTTGAAACAATATCCCGTGAACAATCTCAGGAATTTGAAGTCTGCAACAAATGTTGGAGATTGCAGCACATGCATGCATTACGTTCTCCATGCTATGTTAACGATTATGTTGCACTAAACAATCGACTACGCATAAATTCGACTACATTTTCAGAGCTCTCAAAAATCTGTCACTGCCCCAGAGTTGCAGAGTTGACTGGACTCAACAGATGAAACAAGAAGTAACCCTGTGGTGCCTGCTTCAAATTGAATAGGAGCTCTTAACGAAGCAACCGAGCCTGTGTCCATTGCGGTTGTGTTCAGCTTTATGGATGCCTACGCCGTCATGCCAGTCCTGTCTTTCCCAACCACGTCCATTTTCATCAAAATAGTTTGACCTATTCTCCCTTTTGATCTTAATATTCCAATTTCGATCCTTGTCTTCCCTTGGCCCCCGGTTCTTAAAAAGGAGGATCCCCCTTTTAAATTATGTTTCGAATTTCCCTTGAGCTACTAGCTTTAGGATAGAATCGCATGAGCTGGGGGAGCTAACTCGGAGGCAAACCAATGTGGATTTCATCTATACCAGGGAAGTTTAGCTCCTAAATATTTATTCATTAGAAAATGGAGAAAAAGAGAGGATACTCTATATATTTAAGTGTTTGATGGGAAGGAGTCATTGGAAGTTTCTGGAATTAGCATGGGAAATTTAAAATATACCAACAAAGTGAAATATTGATGTTTTATCTAGATAAAAAAAGGTTTGGAAAACCTCTAATTTAACCCCTGGATTGTATAGATCTCGCAAGTTGACCCTTGTGAAAAATAGTTCGTCAAATCTACCCTATATGACATTTCATCAATTGAGTTTCAACTCAATTTATTTAATTTGTAAAGTAACTGTGACGAGTTCACCTCATTAGGTTCAATCTAACCAAGCCAAATCAACAAAATACAATGATTATGCAGTAAATTTGACAAAATCTTTTCGCCAGAACTATTCGCAAAATTGACAACAAAAAAGGGACTAAATTAGGTTGTTTCTTTTTTCTTCCAAACAGTGTTCAGACATGACCACCAAAGCCTACACAAACAAATAATTAGGAGGATTTGTTTTTGTAAAATTATCAAATTAAACATAAAAATTTAGTAGAATAATTAATATTGTTTCAAACTTTTCTAGTTAAATATTACAATTTAATTATGTTGTGATTTATGAACATGATGCTTGTTTAAAATTTTTATTTTTATATATAATAAGATGATTATCATGTTTTAGAATAGCGATATTCAATCTTTAAATATCTTATTTTTGAAAATAACATGGCTAAATTTTATTCTTTCATCTCAACAATAAATTAGTTACCTAGTTTAATTTAATTGTATTAATCAATTAATTGTTTCACACAAAAACAACAAATTTTTCAAGTTTTTCTTCATAATATGTTTTATGAATTGAAATATATATTTATCCAACTTGTAGATTAAAAAATAAACTCAAATTAAAATATCAAAAAGTTATTATTTATAAAATAAAAAATAATTCTAAATTGTCGGGTGTAAGTCTGCCATAAATAAATAAATATTTGCCACAAATAGATTATATGAATGACATAATAGATGTATTTATGGATTAATGAAACATGTCTAAGTCTAAGAAAAGATTAAGTCGCGTCAACCATAATAATAATTTAAAAAAATTATAATTTTTTATTCAACTGCTGAATCGTGTTTAAATTTTTATAAGATTTTTTAAAAATTATTTTATCTATAATAGTCACTACACACACCATCAAATTTTTAAATATAAAATTTTTAGTGGAGACTATCTAATCTTGGCAATTTTTATTTTTTTTTATTTTTTTTGGAATTGATTGACCGATATTAAAACAGAAATAATACAGTTTATATATATCACTCTTCAAAAGCTGATGAAACTATCCTATTTCATTAATACTTTTTACTCTAAGTATGAATATACCAATATTTTTAATTTTGTATGTGAATTGCCCAATTTATCTAACTAGAATCAATATCCTGACAACTGCAACCAGCTAGCACCGTCTTTGTCTAGGATTTGAAGTGGGGGTGATGTGTTATGAGAATTATTCGATTTTGAAATTGTCGAATTCTTTGAATGACTTTGGTATTCTAGTTAGTATAAAAAAAAAAATAAAGTGCATACGTGTCAGAATAAATTACATACGTGCAGGATCAGCACTAATCTAGCCTTGCCATGAGCAAGATTATTGATTGGCACTAAACTAAAGATTATTTCTCGTGTCCTATCGAGTCCCTCGAGCTTGGGTTTCGATAAAATACCGAGTGTTCGTCTGCCTGCATGTGGAGGCTAGAAGACTTAATTTGCAGCCAACTTTTGATTTGTTTTGAGCTCAGACATGCATGCGAGTCGGTCTTGTCCCCTTCCAAGCAGAAGTGATCACAGAAATTTTTTGCAATTTGTTACATGATGGCAATAAAACAACGACATGCACAGTTCTTTCGACTCTAATTTGAAAAAAAAATAAGACAATTGTAGTTTCAGCTGCTTTCTCTTTTCTAATTTGGCATAGAACCTGACATTGACATAGATTTGAGCTCCTTCCATGGATTCTTTCTTCTTTCTTAACCTCCACACAAAATTTGCTAGCCCCGTTTCCTACAACTAATGCTTGACTGCCTCCATGGAACCTTGATTTTGAGTTTTCAATATCAAGTAAGTGATTCCTTGATTTTTTATTTTTTTTGACGATAATGCAAGCCCATTTTAAAATAATCAAGAGACAATCTAGCCCTGAATCACAACTCTTCTTGCATAAATTGTCTCTTTGTCTATTATAGCACTGCCACACAGAACCAGTAGTTGGAGATCCATGTTTATACTATAGAAAAAGTCAGAATAAGAAATACTTAACAAGGCGTTGGCATTGATGGGAGGAGACCTTGAATCACGTGACATGATAAGGAGCGTTGATCCCACAGCAAAGGCAAATGCACGTGGATGATCATGTGCTTCTGTATATAATATAAGTTCATCATGGTTTGTATAAGGCAATCCCTACTTGTAATCTGACAATGTCGAGTGTGATAAATAGAAAAATTAAAGATAAATCACTAATTTATCTTTAATTTTCACATTAAATATCATTATTATTAAACTTAATTTAACATGTTAATCCATCTATAATCCAGGCTAGTTTAAAAAAAATCAACTCAAAATTGATTTAGTCTAACTCAGTTAATTGGCATAATCCAGTCTAATTCAAGATTAATAATTAAAAAAATCATTAGCCAAGATTAACCAATCAAAATATAATGCGAATACCATTCCAGCTCCAATTTTATCAGTACTTTCTTGATTAATTTTCTGCAATGCAAATACAAAGCTACGTCATGATGTATTTTCAAATACCGAAGGCAACCATTCTAGAAAAAGC